AATAAAAATACTGAATTTATTTCAATTTATACAAAAGGCATATAAAAAGTCGACATGAACTTTTTATAGTTTTATAGTAGAAAGCCTGGCTTGCGAGGTAGGAAAAGTTTTAGAAAAACCACGAGGCGACAAGCGCCAACAATACAGGGAATATACAGGTAGTACTTCATGTCAGCTTATTAACATACAGTGTAAAACAACATGAGTGAATCCCCCGCACATTGGCCCCGACCTGATGGCCAGCGCAGTGAAAGCTTGCGCATTCCCCAGTGACCGGGGAAGGACAAAACGGTGAAAACGAGGTGAATATCCCCGGTATGCCCCGGGTATCCCCGAGGGGGGGGGGGTCGGGGGTTTCAAATGACTGGTGCATAAATTATGTGCGCACGACATCTCGCTCATAGAATTCTTTAATGAATATGATAAAATATTTAGAGCTTCCATTGATATAGATAGGTTATTTGTCTCCAGTATCGTTTGGTGAAACCTCTAGAAGGTCCATCACAGTATACGATAAAGTTTACTGCATGAATAAAGGTTGATATAAATATTGTCTTGATGACCCACAGCGGTCATGATACAAGTCGCAAGAAGCTGCATTTTAAGCGGGATTATTCTTCAAATAAAGGCCAATGGCAATGCCAATGAAAGGTCTTTAAACGATTTTTAATGTACCTGCTGTAAATTACTCTAATACATGAAATATGAAATAATTTACTATAAAGTACAATACCAGTGTCTGGTCGCATGTTTCGTCCTAAAAATATCCAAGTTGTACCCCACGCACGGACGAGTATATTTGGCGTTCGTGTGATAACAGATAGCTTTAGTATTATACTTCGATATAATCATTCTTCATCGTTGAGTTTGAGCAATGTAAATGCAGGGAATGTTACGTCCATAACGGGTTTTAATCCAGTGCTTTCACAGTCGGGATAGCATTTTTTACACACAGTTGGCGATGTTTGGGAAATCAAAGGATTGTTTTGAATATCGAACAGGATACACTTCAAATATAATTAACAACCATATCGTTCGTTTGATCGACCAGTCGGTGTAGAAGACATTTATGTTTCTACGGCGATGCGTGCTCAACTTCGCAAGCCAGGCGCGTGTATAGTCCTTTCCTTGCAAGTGAAATATGATCCAACTTCTCGCTTGAAATGTACCGCAACACTTATTATTGACTCGGACATTCAGTACAGCAGGAAGTCGTATCATGATGAATACGAATTTAGAACAGTTCCTTTCACGATTTCTTGTTGTAAAGTGCATGTTTATCACCAGAAACTATAAAGCATAAAGTTGCAAATTCCAAACGCGACAAACAGACTCCTCTACTACCCCTCCCACATCAATTATACTTTTTGCCACCCAGAATTTAGGGTACACGTGACCAGCCCCAGCCAGGGTATTTTCTCCAGCTAGGAGCGTAGAGGAAAGAGCCTGGGTACGAGGTTGCTTTGACACTCTCCTCCGCAGAGTCTGATTATGGGATTTGTAGGGATAGTAGAGGATATTTAGTGGTGCGCGACGGGGGGTGAGATCGATGGTTGACAAAATGTCTGAATTGAATTGTTGAATTGAATTGAATTGAATTGAATTGAATTTATTACAAAATCTGAAGGGCAGCTAACAGCTGAATTGTACTGAGTTGACATTTAAAATACATGGTAAAACTAATACATATAGTAATATACGGTATATTAAAACTAAAATTTATATTACAATTAAAATGAATCATTATATGATACGATACTAGAAGGAATAAAACTTTTACTAAATCTTGTAGTCTTACAATTAATTAAGTTAATATGCTGATCATTACGTACAGTGGCGGCGCCAGGGGGGGGCAAGGGGGGGGGCAAATGCTCCCCCCAATTATTTTTTGCTCCCCCATTTTGCCCCCCCTCAAAAAAAATTATTAGTCACTAAGAGCGACTAAAGGCTACACAAGCGTTCTGTCGTTATCGGAAAATGTATGGCTTATAAGTTGTCATTACTCATTAGTGAATGCGCGTATACATGAAACTGTTTTTTACAGTTTCAATATTAGTTTGTAAATCTCTGCATGGTAAAACTTGCCAATACTCCAATAATACGTTTAAAAAAAAGACAAAAAAGCTTTAGTTTTGCAGAGTTAAATTCTCAAACGTGTTTGTTTATTTGAATAAACCACATCGCATATATGGGGGGCGAATGTCCTAAAGAGGGGCGATATTCCTAGGGTATTCGTCCCACCACCTGGGAGGCGATATTCCTAGGATATTCGCCCCCCGGGGGAAATATTCCTAGGAATATCGCCACGTTTTGAGGGGGGGGCGAATTTCCTGGGGGGGCAACCTTTTTAAAAATTCTATCTTGCCCCCCCCAAATTTGAGTTTGCCCCTCAAATGCCGCCCAAATTTGGAAGCCTGGCGCCGCCACTGGTTGTTTACGTCCAACAAGCATAATATTACATAACTCAATAGACCTTTCCCCTTTTAAGTGAAATTTTGATCTAGACAAGTCCGGACAAAAATTTCATCACAACTTGAAAGAGCATCGCAAAATCAGTAATAGTCCGAAGTTTCGTTGCGAAATGTTGTAAAATGTGGATAATATAGCCTTGCAAAATTTGCCGTTTTTCAGTCATTTTAGATTAAAAACGGGAAATTGATAATCAGGGGCCGGTTGTATAAAAACGTAGTTAGCGCTAACTGCAGTTAAAAAGTAGTTAACTCTTTTTCGTTCGCTGCTGAAATAACCAGGGGCCGTTGTTTAAAACTCTTAATCACTTTTTTAATCACTATTTTGTAGTTAAATAGTGATTAACTCTCAAATACGCGCTTTTTATTGGATGACGTTTCCACTAACTATAGTTAACTTTAATCACTTTTTTATACAATCGGCCCCAGATGATCAAACTGATGATCAATTTCCCATTTGTAGGCAAAATGATTGAAAATTTCACAAGGCTATATTATCCACATTTTACAACATTTCACAACGAAACTTCGGAATATTACTAATTTTGTGATGCTCTTTCAGGCTGCGATGAAATTTTTGTCCAGGCTAGTCTAGATCAAAGAAGACAGGTTAAAATAGAAGTTGGTCCTTTTGAGTGACATAATCGTTTGTCGTCATCGATCCATGTCGTTGAACAATGAAAAAATTTGTCGTGAAATTAGTGAAGATAAAATTGCAGTTTGTGAGAAAACTGCAGGTCTACGGAGCGGGAACTTTTCGGATTGGAACACAGCGTGTTCGAAAGTGTTAGTTCACGTAAAAATATTTCAGTTCCAAGACATGGGAAATGAAAATCATTTTCTAGGCACTTTTGAGGTCACACCAAATGGCCTAAGAAACACGAAAGTATTTCTAAACTACTTTTTAAACGTTTATTAAACGTTTTTGAACAATTTAGAAAATGTTTTACACGTTGTTGACAGTGTATGCTTTTAAAAACATTAAAAAACATTGCTTCGTGGCTAGTTTTTTGGCCTAGTGATATTAGTATCATATGTAAAATTTCTGTTTCCACTCAGAACGAAGGATTATTCAACGCTTTTGTCATTACAAGGTTTTCAGAATTAGCCCGGCCAATTTTTGTTTTGTTCTGATCTTGGCGGTTGCGTGGGATAGTCCACGTACTCGTCCAGAGTGCTACTGTAGGGAGCCTCCTTAAGTTTACTTTAGTTTGTAGTTGTAAGCCCCGAGCAAACGGGGATGAGAGTTCACGAGAGTTGGAATATTTAAGTTAGAACACTTATTATATACAAGACAAAATTACTGCAATCTGATTGGTTAAGAGGAGTGTAATTGTTTCATTAATTGTACTCTCCAAGAGTGCAATTAGTGATTTTCGTGATGGTTGGGGCAATCTCGAACCCTGATCCTACAATCCTCTGTGGAGGAATGCTTGGAAACGCCTGCGAAATTCGGGCTCTGATTGGTTGTTTTCAAGTGCTAATTATTATTCAAACTATGAGTCTATTTAGTGATTCAAACATCCTTTAATTAATATAAAGTTTATTTCTGTTTGTGTATTATGTTTACACATATCAATGAAACGCTCAGCATAACTTTAATAAATTTATTAAGCTTCCTTCGCTTCTCATACGAAATCAATAGACTATTCCGATACTCATATGCCAATAACCAATCTCGTACCCAGAGCCATCATTGAGTGGCTCTGGGTACGAGATTGGCCAATAACAAAACTGTAGAATAACAACAATGCAGCATTACCATATAAGTTCATGATAAGCCGTTGCTTGTAATATTTAAAATATCAAAATCGGCACTACTCTCAAGGCTTAGGCTAGCAACACAACAATCCATGATTTACCGTAATTAAACAAGTTAAAATAAATCACTACCAGTATCTTACAGCAATTCAAAACCCTGGCAAGTGTTCTTTGAAGAATTAAAGTCGTAATAAGGAAATTACATGTAATAATAGTAGGGCAAATAAATTAAAAAAAAAAGCTTAAACAACGGCATAACTCATATTTGACGGCAGTAATGTCTACTTATAAATGTCGAGCGGAGTACGGGATCCAAATATACAGATTTTCATGCAAAATTCGCCGGTGTTTCCCAGAGCCTCAGCAAGCCTCCACAGAGGATTGCAGGCTCAGGGTTCGAGATTGGGTTGGGTTGGGGGAGCGAGAAATCAAAACAACTCAAAATCAAAAATCCAATATGGCGTCGAAATTTATCTTGTATAAATAACAAACGTGGGGACCAGTTCCTGGTCCAGAAATCTAATGTTTACTGTTTTGTGGGCCACCCCATCTAGACTCTCAAATAATTCGGCGACTCGTTCAATTTTGGCACATTTTTCAAATATCACTTGCATTGTTAATCATTAATTGCACTCCTTCCCGTGTGATTACCTATACTTATCAAACCTTTATATTGTTAGATATTGGAATGTCGCTTGTAACAACTTGTGGCTTCCAACTCTCATTCTCGTTTGACCGGGGTTTTAGTTTAATTTGTATTTTAGTTTTTACCTTAAGATTTTCCTCGAAGTTTGTGTCCTCCCATGTCATTTCTTTGTATCCTTTGTTGAGAAGATTAATGGAGCCGGTATTACCAATAGAGAAGAGAATATGAAGATATTCATTTTCATCAAAGAGAGCAGGAACCCCGACACTGTTAGTTACAGCAAGGTATTTGCAATGTGGGTAGAATAATTGATACAAAGGATGCAACTTGGAAAATGTTCGGTGCATGATGGTGCAAATTGGTTCCATAAGAAGATGTGTTTTTAAAAGATGCTCAATTATTTCCACATAGACAATGTCTGCACGTTGAACTTCTTCTTTTGCCATCAGCCATTTACTGCCATTATTCGGTGTCAGAACAGCAGCATCTGCATCAATGAAAGTAATTGAAAAAAAGCTTGTGGGTGAACGACAATTTGTGGGTGAACAACTTATAGTGTGTTTTCCACAGGGGCGCTGAAATCTCAGAGAAGGTTAGACCTAACGCCCACCCTTTACCTGGACCAGTGGTATTTCTGGTATCATGTTTATAAAGACACATTTCAGTGCGAAAATACTATCATTTTCTCTATGATCGCTTTTTCCTGCCAATTAACTAGGCGGTCTCATGCGCCCCTTGTTTTCCAGATTTATTAGAGAATGTAAGTGTAGGTACTTGAGAATAGTTTGTTAGAAAGCGGATTAAAAGAAGAGAAGGACTCCTTGTGATAGTCGACTCTTCTTTAGTCACGGAACTAATTAAAAAGAAATTGCGAACAATTTCATCTAGATCATCTGGGATAAAGAAATCACTATCTTTTCTTGAAACGTGTCGAACACATGGAGTCTGCCTCCTTTTACCTGCCTTTCAACTAATATTAATCCTAAGTTTGGTTAAGATGGGGGTTATAACACTGGAAGAATCTTTAAGTAACCTAGCGCCCGCTGATTTTGTCGAGACCTATAGCTTTGTTGGTTTTAAGATTGTTCAGAACACCATACATATAACTTTCTTCAATTGGCTGGAAAACAAGTTCATTTTCCCTAAACTGACTAGGTTGCTTGATAGAATTCCGATTTGGATACAAATTTCTTATCTTAGTTACCAATTTGGATATTATGCTTGAGAAATGATCATTCAATGACTCAGCTATAGACTTTGGGTCGGTATCGTATGAGAAACACCATTAGCTTCAATACACGATTACGAGGAGTAAGACTTTCGGGACGAGATATCGTTTAACACCAGCGTTTCCTTTATTCGTATTGATCAGGTTCGAGTAGTATTCAGCTTTGCATTTCTTAACATTTGTATTGATGTAAGATTTAATCTTCTTGTACATCATCCAATGAAATGGCGAATTTGACTTAACGGCTTTGCGGTGGTGATAGTCGCGATCTTGCATTGCGTTGCTTAAATCAGTAGTAAGCCATTGGGTTTGAATTCCCTTTGTTCTCAATTTCTTAATTAGAACATGAAGATCGATAACGTTTGTGAACAGTTCATTCCATTCACTTACAGCCAGTAGCGTAGCCAGCCCGACGATTTACCATATTATAGGAAATTAACGATGCACTTTATTAACGCGACATAAATTAACGCGACATCAAATTAACGCGGATTGCTTCTAGGTCTTTTAAAACATGATTATATGAACGCGAATCTGATCTCCATGGTTGACAAATTAATTAAATTAACGCGAATCGGAAAATATAGACACAACAACAACAACAAAGGTTTAATGTTAAGCGGAGCACTGATGTTTTTAGTTTACGTTAATATGCTGTATTTTGATATTAAAAGAGTTAGTGTTATATAAAACAAATCTAGGTAGTTTTAACTAACGATAAATGAAAATTACATACTTAAAATTAACGATCACATAAATTAACATTAATTAAAGTAACGCGAATTTTTCTGCGAGCAGGCTACGTTAATAAAGTGCATCGTTAATTTCCTATAATAAGGTAGTCCCGCTATGCAAATATTTTCGTGTTCATCGACTGTGAGAACAATCAATTTCTAAAGAAATGAATAATGCATGATAATAATTTTGAATTTGCATAGCGGGACTAAATTGTCGGGCTGGCTACGCCACTGCTTACAGCGACATTAATGACTTGTTCTTCGTCAGTAAGATCGAAATTAACATGTTCAAGATCAACGAGGGAAGATTGCTTTGAGTAAGTCTTGTAGGATGTGTATTCTACCACTCTTCCTGGTGCTCTGCGTACACCCGCTTTAACAACACAGCAGATGAGAGAATGGTTACTTAAGTTTACGTGTAGGACTCATAGAAGATATCTTATATACACTAGATAGTGCATCAAATTATTCTGCAATTCAAAAATTGAAGCCGTGATTGCAGACTCAGGATATTCCCATGAAATGAGAAGATTCGTATGTTTTCTATTTCTTAAACAGGGAACTTAAAGATTAAGTTAAACCTATTCCAAATAGATTTTTAAACTGTTCAAATGATGAAAGTTATTGTTGTTTTTTACGCGTTTATTAGCGAGTGGGAACTTCCTACATGGCCGCTATCTATTCAAATGGGGGTAACCGCTGGAAAATTTTTGGCTTCAATTTTACTAAAAGAGATGCGCTATCTAGTGTATATAAGATATCTATGGTAGGACTCCAGAGCCAACTATTCGATGATTATTGTTATAGAATAGGAGATCAATCAATGTACTTGAGTTCTTTGCTATTCTCGTTGGTTTATCAATAAGTTGCAATTGTTCAAGATTGTACATGCTGGTAAAGCTTAGAAGTTTTCTCTTAAGAGCTCTGGAAGCATCATTTTTTGTAACTAAAAAGTTCACATTTATATTTAAAGTCACCAAGTAGTAATTACTTCAGCTTCTAACGAAATAGAGGACTATGCAGTATCAACTTCTTCAGTAAGTGACTCTAACAATTGACCAGGGGCTTTATACAGGGTGTGTTAAAGAAAAACTGAACAGATTTTAAATTGCTCTCAATTTCGCGAAACAGCTATTAGTATCCAGTTTTTGATATATATAGTTTCTTTGGGTACTTATAATGTAGAATAATAAAAACAATTTCTCGAACTCAAATTTTGTAAATCAGGGGGGGGGGGGGTGTCTTTTTCGACAAACTAAAAATGGCTTGCGCACGATATTTAAAAGCTTTAATCATATTTTGAGTTGATAGATTAAAATTTTGTTGGGTTTTTAATTACTGTACAAAATTTCAGATAATTTGCTTTAGTTTAAATATTCATTTTTCTCTAAAAAATTAGCCTTTCGCATGTGTAAGAACTGGGACTGGTGTTGATATTAAACATAATTTATGTTAATTATTTTGGGAATTAATCGGAAATACGGACACGTTGGACTGACAATACAGGTTTATATTGAGGCGAAGGAAACCATTCTATTTATGTTTGTAAAGTTGTGTTTATTAAAGTGAAAATGTGTATTGAAGAAAGCGAATCATTCAGTGTTTCTGGGAGATTCCCCACACTGAAGGTGGCGATCCTGCCAGGACATTAAAGGAATTTTCATCGAGAACTGATATGGCATACGGCGTGACGGCGATAAACACAAGCAAATACGTTCGATAATACAACAAAATGCAACAGGTTGGTGATTTAAAAGCGTAGGGGTTAATTTTCAACGTTATTTCGGAATATTGGGAGGAATTACTTTATATTTACTGGGACAATAGCAAAGAGAAACCAAATTATTTACGGTATAAAATAAACACGGTTACGGGATTAAATTAGAGTGCGCTAGATGGTAACAAAAATTATTTAAATTGCGCTAGACGGTATTCAAAAACAAAACAATAAATTAACCAAGGACAAACAACAAATTTGGGTGGTTTCCACAGGTTAAACCATGGATTGCGAAGCAAAACACGAGAAATGTGTAACTTTAGAAAAAAATAAACTGGCAGAAGCACAAGAACTTGCTGAAACTAATAGTGAGGATGATGTTGTATTAGCTTATAAAAAGATTAATGAGTCAATAAAGCGGTTGGAATTATTAATGGATGGAGCCCTTCAAACTTTAGTTGACAATGATAAAGACTTAGAGTATGTCAAAGAATGGTCAGCGAAACAAAAGGACTGCATTGCGCAATTCCGCAAACAGAGAGATCATTGTAAGCAACAGTTGGATGAACTGCAAAACAAGGGACAAGAGAAAAAGTTGAAAAGGGACATTGAAGATCAAAGAAGAGTGAATTATGAACAAGCCAAGTTTAGAGAACAGCACAAAAAGAAGTGGAGGAGGCCATGATACGGCAACAACAAACGGAGGAAGAATGGTTAAAAAAAAGATGGAATTACAAAAGTTAAGTGGGGAAATTAACACTGAGGGTGCTTCATCCAAGAAGTCACAACAAACTGTGAAGTTACAAAGGGTACACTATCACACCGTTTTCTGGGGATTATAAGGATTGGCTCCGTTTCTGGAACCAATTCAGTGTGGAGGTCGATGGGTCAACCTTGTCAGAGATCAGCAAGTTTCACTACCTATTGGAATTAGTGAAGGACAAACCTAGAGATGACATTGTGGGTTTGCCACATTCGATTGAAGGTTAGAAAGAAGCAAAGCGCATACTGCAAGAGAATTATGGAAAGGACAGCAAGGTTCACAGCAGGGGTGGATCTAGGGGTCGTCAAACCAGTCACGCGACTAACGTAAAAATTACAAACTTAATTAAAGTCTGATTAAAGCATTAAATATTCGACCAATAGTCCAGTTATTTTTTATCATGCAGTGGCACTTTATAATAGTTCAGTATCTATTATCATGCAGCGCTAGCAATTAACAATCCAATTGAACTGTAGTCCAGTGATCAAATTTCATACAGTGGCTGAGCCGACGAGCTTAGTCAAGTCAATGAGCAGCTGACATACGCAAAGTCGGTCAGTCAAAAAGTCCAAATCCAGTGGACTTTGTGGACAAAATCCAGTGTTCTGATTGGTCTAGACGCTTATTTCCATGGAAACAAGCGATTTTTTGCAAATTTGACTGATCTGTGGGGAGTTCTGACCGATTTACAAAAGTCAGGGGCGCCCCATTAGTCTGAATATCATTAATATTATATTTCACGCGTGGTAAAGTCTTTCCGAGCGCGCGCTCATTCGAAGTGTCATGTTGGAGCTTTGTCGAAAGATTCAATTTAAAGATATATACCTACGGAAAATTCGAAATGTCTGCTGCTCCCATCCTTGTAGTATTCATGAAACGGTTGAATCCGCATTTGCGGTGAATGATTTAGCTGTCTTACAAGACTGTTGCGCTGATTTTGGGAGGATAATCGACGCTAAATATCGGAGAGTTCGATTCAGTGAGCAGTTGCTAGGCGCTATGAGTAGCACGAACTACAGTTTGACTGTTTGAGCAGAAGTATTGGCGCCGAGATCTTTATTCTGAAGTGCAATAAGGTAAATTTAATGTGATATGTAAATTTTATTTCGTTTTAAACAGCATAACAATATTTATAAGTGAACAAGATGCACGCCACGCATATGTAAATACGCGTATCTTGATTTAGCCATGAATTTTGATTTACACAACAAAATTGCATAGTTGTGCGGTTGAATGACCGTCAGAACTCAGGAGGCTATTAATATTGAGGATAATCGATATAAATGCATTAATGCAGCATACATAGGATCTAAAGGTCAGGTTTTATTGATGAATGTTCAAACTTTAATATTGATATATGTTTATTTGAGTAATATGACACTGTAGTGATTACTAGTCAAGTGATCAATGACTCAACAAGGCTATTAGGCAACATAAATGAGTGTAGTACCATCATGAGTTAGTTGAACATAATACTAGCAATCCATAATTTGATAAAATGAAACATCTTCCACACTTATCACATTTCTGCAAGTACTTCTCTTTTAAATTTCCCTAAGGAGCGAGTTGTGTCGAGAGTCAGTGAGACTGATAATTGCTATAATTATCTCCCAATTCATGAGGTTAATTTTTTGTTGAAGCTGCTTTCAGAGTGCTGCAAATGGCGTTTCTGAGGTTTAAATATAAAAAATTTCCTGGGGACAGACACCCTGGAGGACAGACCCCCCCCCCCTCTCCCAGTTGCCTCGCGCATTCACCGCTCGCAAAACTAGATTGTGCATCTGAAAACTTTGAAAAATCCTGGATCCGCCCCTGGTTTACAGAGCATTGATAAAAGATCTAGAAAGCCTCCATGCCATTACAAGCATCCACAAGCTGGAGTCCATTCACGACTTTTATAACAAATTTTCTAGAATTGTGAGAACACTAACCACTATGGATAAATTGGCATCAGCACAATCAACAGTTCATACTCTTATGGACAAGCTAGGACCAGTTCGAGAAGTCTTAGTACAAAAGGGTGATGATTGGGAAGAATGGGATCTTAAGCAACTTGTAGATAACTTGAAGAAATATGTTGATCGACACCCATTGCGTGTGGAGGAGAAAGAAGTCAAGGATGATCGGAACGGGAGCAAACTTAATTGGCGCAATCGTGATAAACTCTTGTTTGGTAATGGGGGAAGTGGATACAGACGACCGAAATGTATTTATTGTGATTCCCCTGCGCATTCTGCTGTAAAGTGTACAAAGGTTTTGAGTGTGGCTGATCGTCGGGGCATACTGAGGCAAAAGAAAGCTTGCTTCAACTGTGCATTACCAGGACATCCTGCATCAACATGTCGTGCGCGAGGGTGCCACAAGTGTGGGCAGAAGCACCATTCCTCAATATGCCAACAACAGGAAAAATCGTCACTGGATGGTATGAACAACAACCTAATGGAAAAAGGTGTGAGTAGTACCCTTCAAAACACTTCAGTAATTCACCCAACCTTACTCGCAAATGTCGAAGGCAAACAAGTGCGTCTCATGATTGATACAGGAACCAGCAGTTCGTATATATGTACTGATGTTATTACCAAATTAGGATTATAGCCAGCCAGGAAGGAGAGACGTTGCATTGAACAGATGTATGGATCAATGACCAAAGTCGTTGAGGTTTACAACGTAACTGTTAAATCGACAATCGAGAACGAATTCAAAGTTGACCTGGAGTGCATCAACGCAGAGAAACCCATCCTGACCCATTTACCAAATCCAAACGTTGAGCAAGTAAAGAGGAAGCAACCACGGCTGCGTCGACTAAACATTAGTGAAGAGAAGTCAACTGGAGACACCCTTCCTGCTCATATCATGCTGGGAGTTGCTGATTTCCAACGCATCAAGTCTAGTGAGCCACCAATATTGGGTAACCAACCAGAAAAGGATCCAGGAGCAGAATTTACAATGTTGGGGTGGACAGTGTATGGAGGTGTTCGAACAAGTAACCAGTCAGACAAGCAGTTCCTTCTTAATACTGGGCAAGAGGAATTTGAGCGGTTATGCAGTGGTGATGTTCTTGGTGTGACTGACCCTGTGGACATGTCATCATTTGAACATGAGGAATTCAAGAAACGGCTTATACAAAACCAAGATGGATTTTATGAAACAAGATTACCGTGGAAAGTCGGACACGTACCGTTGCAAGAGAACAAGAATCAGTCAACAGCTAGACTGTACAGTGTTACACGGAAGCTCGAACGGATTGGAAAATTGAAAGAATATGATGACGTTATGCAAGATCACTTGGGAAAAGGTGTGATTGAGCCAGTTCCTGAGTTCCAGTACAACCAACAGGGGAGATTGTGCACTATGTTCCGCATCAACCGGTTATTAGAGAGCAAGCACAATCGACGAAAATGCGCATTGTTTATGATTGTTCGTCAAAACCAGATGCCACCACCCCATCTTTGAATGACTGCTTGGAAGCGGACCTTCTTTCCAGCCTCTTCTATTCGATATCCTTCTCCGCAACCGTTTTCGAAGATATTGCATCACAGGAGATATGGCAAAAGCATTTCTTCAAATTATTGTTCAAGAATGTGATCGTGACGCCCAATGGATTCTCTGGTTTGACGATTTGTGTAATCGGAACATACTTGAGTACAGATTCACACGCGTTATCTTTGGAGCAACACCGAGTCCATATATTCTTGGTGCGACCTTACAAAAGTATTTGGAAGGGTATCAAAGCATCTATCCAGAGACGGTTCAAATGCTGACAGATGACACCTATGTTGATGATATACAAGGTGGTGGTGATTCCAAAAAGGATGTGGTACAATTTAGAGAAGAAGCTACAACGATTTTGGCAGGTGCTGGGTTCCAACTGCACAAGTGGCACAGTAACGTACTATCAGTTAACACGGACAGTAATGAGAAGGAGGAGGAACGAACCTATGCCAAAACTGTAGTCGGAAATCCTAAAACCAACCGAACAAAGATTTTGGGAATACCATGGGACAAGTCAAACGACTGTAGGACAGTGTCATTCGAACCTTCTCTTAACATTAAGTCTCCTAAAACCAAACGAAAGATGGTGGTAGCAATCAACAGTGTCTTTGATGTCCTTGGATAGTCATCCCCAGTGTTGATAATCATGAGGGTGATGTTTAGTAATGTTTTTTTCCTGAAGTTGCATTGGGATGAAATCCTACCCCCGGACATTGTACAATCATGGTGGTGCTGGATCAATGGATTGCGACGACAAAGTTTCATCACTGTTCCTCGAAGCATAGTGTCACAAGGTGGTAGCGAATTTGAGATCCATGGATTCTCAGTTGCGAGCAAGAAAGCTTATGTGCGGCAATTTACACGATGGATTGCTGCTTGTGGCAAAGTCGAGAGTCGCGCCGAAGGATACAAGTATCCCCAGATTGGAGTTAATCGCTGCTATGACCCTGGCGAAGCTGCAAAGTAATGTTCTTAGAGCGTTGGAAATACAGCCTATTCGATCCGTACACCATTGGGTGGTAGCCTGACGGTTCTCTATTGGCTCGCAAACAAGGGTATCTGGTCAGCTTTCGTGAGAAATCGGGTCAAGAAGATAAAGGTGCTTGGAGATGCAGATTGGCGTTATGTTCCGTCTAACAGCAACCCAAGCGATCTGGGCACAAGGGGAGCAGCGCCAGACAAGCTCGGGGATCTATGGTACAAGGGACCGGATTGGCTGCTAAAGCATGACCAGTGGCCAGAACAACCGGAGATCAATGAGACAACTGATGTCACACAGGAGTTGGCCATGAAGATCTACGGACGAGCCTGTCATAAAAGATAAAGTCGACAATTCAGGTGATGCAAATACTAGAGAAAGACGTTGAGGGAAAGCAAAGACAGCGGCGATCGACAAAATGGTGGGAGTCACACTGAACGAACAGGAAGAGGATCAAACAAACGAATTGAACAACATTAAAGCGGCTAGTCATCGCTTTAATGGGGGGAGAGTGTAAGAACTGGGACTGGTGTTGATATTAAATATAATTTATTTTAATTATTTTGGGAATTAATCGGAAATACTGACACGTTGGACTGACAATACAGGTTTATATTGAGGCGAAGGAAACCATTTTATTTATGTTTGTAAAGTTGTGTTTATTAACGTGAAAATGTGTATTGAAGAAAGCGAATCATTCAGTGTTTCTGGGAGATTCCCCACAGCATGCTTAATTAATGCTTTTACCTAATTTGCATATTGCTGACATATGCAAATTAGGTAAATGCATTAATTAGCATGCAAATAACTAATTTTTTTTTAAAAATGTAAGTTTGCGTGAATAGTTAGAGGGCTTAAGCTAAAGCAAATTGTCTGAAATTTTTTACAGTAATTAAAAACCTAACATATTTTCCATCTATTAACTTAAAATATTTTTAAAGCTTTTAATTTTGTACGCAAGCTATTTTTAATTGTTGGAAAAGACACACCCCCTGGTTCACAAAATTTGAGTTCAACAATTTTATGTTATTATTCTACATTATAAGTACCCAAAGAACTGAAAGAAGTTATATACATCCAAAACTGGATACTAATAGCTGTTTTGCGAAATGAAGAGCAATTTCAAATCTGTTCAGTTTTTTTTATACACCCTGTAGATTGTGAATATAAAAAGGCTTTTGCTTTTTGGACGCCTAATTTCAATAACAGTGGATTCGATATTGCTACTCAGAAGGTCAGTCCGTGTTTTGTAAGGGATGCCATCTCTCACAAATGCTAACGTACCCCCACCAGATCTTCCATTCCAATCATTTTTGGAAAGCGTATAGCCAGAAATAGAGTTTCACCATCAGTTATATCAGAGTTTAGCCAGGTTTCAGAGATCGTAAAAATATCAAAATGTTTTTCATTAAGTAGAATCTTTAATGAATCTGTTTTATTGTAGATACTTCTGATATTGAGGTGTGCAACCTTAAGACCCCGAGATTGAAGAAAACCACTTGCTTGTTGACTATTAGTAATCGATGCAGGTCCAGGATTAGATTCTACATCACCAGATATGGAAATAACTAGATCTGCGAGTATTGTGTATAGCAGTAAACGGCTCCCAAAGAAAACCTTTGATGAATTCTGCAATGATCTTCGTTTTTCCCTTTTTCGTCGACAACCGTATTTAACTAGATCGACTCATGATATGGATTGTTGCGATTGCCTTGCATATGTAGAAAATAGTATGCTGTGGCACAAAGTTAGAACAATTCTCTGGGACATAACAATTCTTTGGGACATAAAGACCACATGCGATTTAAATGTTCTGTTGATTAGATCATTTAGCAGACGGCGGTCGATAAGTGCGATGGACACTGGAGGGGATTTGTAATTAATACGGAAAATACTTGAGATTATATTTCGCTGCACTGATGTCAGAGAAAACCACGCCAATGAAAGAAAAATGTGTTAATAGTATAGACTAGCCGATAGATAGCAAACAGTTTTACATCAGCAGAGTTGATTAACTTGAGTTAGCCAGCTACTATGCTGTAATCATAATCTTGATAAAAGTTGAGAATGATAAAGATTCTCTATTGCTTATAACTTTTATAGTGACATTGATGGACCAACGAATACACATTTTCATGCAAAGGCAGAGCATCTGTCCTGCCTCAGGCAGAAAATAAATTACAAAGACAATGCCCTCCATGGCCTCCATCATACCTTTATCCATGTCCATCTGAATGGCCACAGGTTTTAAAGTATTCTCGCTCTTTCCAGTATAAGCATTGCCACTAGGTACTGAGGCAAACACGGTAATCGGGCTGACTGTTTTCCTCATTGGTCTGTGGTTTGGATCATTCACCTCTATATCTTCAATGTTGGTAATACCTTGAAGTAATGGATAATCCAGAACAAAAACTTTTCCACTGTTAACCATCTAAAAATAAAGCGCATATATATTAGTGGTGTAATTTTTCCCTTCGTAAAGGCGCTGTGGTATTTTGACACAGGCGAATAATTCAAAGTGAGTAATTTCATAACCTAAACTGAGAGCAGAACCCTTGCTAATTCATTATTCTCGTAAAAAACGGCAGTCAAAAATGTCAAGAACAATTGTTAATTAAGAGACACTTAGTAATGTTCAGGAGGAAGAAAAAATCGTTACAATTAGACATCTGCAACGTTTGCAAATAAATCTGTCTTCAGTTCCAAGTGATACACGTACTGCAGCATCGCCATAGGATGTTTATAGTGAGATGTCAAAATACACTCAAGGTATGAAAGAAAGCATACACTAGACAAAACATGCATAGATATAACACAGAGCGTTCAATCATGGCGAACCCAACACAAAGACGTTGTCTCTCTAGTTTTTCATCTCACCTCAATAAAGGAACTGCCCGAAACTTCTCTCATTGCTTCGTCCCAGTTAAAAGCCCAGTTAAAGTAATCGTTCACAATCGAATCTAAAATTAAAAACGAATTCCACGAAATGAAAAAAGAATGCCAAATCCCTGCAGTTAAAGCCATTTTCCACTAGGAAAATTTGTTCACGCGAAGCGAAAAACAAATCTTGGCAATGTGATTGGTCAGCGAAAAAATCTGCCGCTGAAAAGTTGGATCAGTTCCTACTTTTTACCGTTCGCGTGAACAAATTCGAATAGTGAAAAATGGGCTTTAGAGTTTAGGCAAATATTGCTGTGGAGACCGACTATGTCCATGTTTATCCACATTGGAAAATAAGAGAATTCTTTCACCGGCGAAAATCAAACTTGGAATCAAAATATGTTTTCAGATTTGTTTAGGGACATTTTTGCTAGTAGGAAGAAGATTTTGTCTCTGCAACAATGTTTCCAAGACCACAAATGGAGAAACATCAAAACCGTTCAGCAAGTCAGGTATTCAAACGGAGTATTCAAACGGAGTATCGTAATTTTCAATTTTTTATGTAACATTGCATGTTTAATTTTTGGTTCGTCTAGGGCATACGATGGTGACATATATTTGCATAAATGTAAACTATGAATGTGTAATACACATCTATACTGGTGAGGTAAAATCCCCGAGACAACATTTTGAACATTGGAATATTTCATATTGAATATTCATTATAATATAGCATTTGTAAATTCTGAACACTGATTGGCCAATGTCAACACGGAAAATTTCTTTCTTTATATTTCTTTGTGCTATATTATAAAAAAATATAAACATTTTTCCGTATAGATATATAGTTATATCAACACTCGTGGAAATTGGAAAAACACTCCGCCCTCCGGGCGTCGTGTTTCCACACAATTTCTCGTTTTCCCAATTTCCACTCGTGTTGATATAACTGTATATCAACACGGAAAAGTTTTACATTTGTTAAATATACCATCCATGGACAGGATTCTCAGAGACATCGGGTTTAATCCTGCCAATCTTTGCTGCGTGAACACCTCGTCACTCTGCCATCTGTTTGACCAGGTGATGTCTTCAAAAGATGGGTCCTCCACCAGCGGATAATGCATAAAATTCTTCATCGGGAAGATACCAAACAGTTTTTCCTGAAATTAAGATGAAGAAACGAAAGTCAAATTTGGATGTATGGTATAAGTTCCTTCTAGGAATTCTCATGGTGATAAATATAATTCGTTTCTATAGAAAACAAAAAATACAATATACACCAACTGATATTCTCGACAAAACGGTCACAAAAACAAAACAACTACATAGTATGTTGAAAAAGTGATCTTACTCTTTGTTTCTCTCTATATTCATCCAAGAACGCCGCGTATCCATCGTAGGTAGTCAAATTTGGCACGTTTCCAGGTGCAAGGTATTGGGCTTCTAGCTTTTTATTTCGCAAAGCATTGCCTAGCCATAAAAATGGCCATGTAAACGTGAATGGATTCTTAATATTGTAGGTTTTGATGCCTTCAATCAAACTAGTTACAACAACTACATCAGACGGTTGATTCAGTACGGGAGCTGCTACTGCTTCGATCAAATTATTTGTGTTTGTCGGGAATTCGGGCGGGTTTTCCAATGGTGAAGTCAGTTTGTATATCATAAATCTGGCTACAATCTTTAAAATGTTTAAATAGTTCAAATTGAAACATTTCTTCAATTTACCACTCTTCCAATAAGTGTATATTGTACCAACTGGGCATTCATCTAAAGGTTAAATAAAATAAATTATTTATTAAATTAATTGATAAAAAAGACTGTAAAATTAAGGGCTTAAAATGAGAGAACAGAGCAAAACTTCTCAGCTAGGTAGCATACTAGTCAAAAGAGCTCGATCTGCGCGAAGTTTACACATAAGACATGACAACGGTGGGACCACGATATATTGGCGCTGACCTGATTTGATTTCTTTTTGACAACTTATTCATCCACGGAATGAACCAAACTAAGGCATACCAAGCATTGTTCAAAGGTTGATAACCAGACATGGTGTACCACAATGCGGTTCCCTAGACCAAGGCTTATGATTCCGGACAAATTAACAGAATAACAAACTAACAGACTAACAAATTAACAGACTAACAAATTAACATGCTAACAAAATCACGCAACAAATCACGTTTTGGAAACGCAATTTATAACTCGTCCAATTTGGACACACGGGAATTCGTACGTTTAACTATATGCTCGAAGTCCGGTTTGATTCGTCTATTGTGAGCGTGAAACGCGAAATTGGAACACGGTTGCAAATTCGTCTGATCCCGTGGGTACGATGAAACTGTGCAAAGTGGTGCACAGACTGCTCTGTCCCAAGCAAAAAAGGGAAGGCGGGTAATTTATGTTAAGTCATAAAGTTCTTCCACATAGAATGAACGGAGCGAGACGAATTTCGGTATTACTAATTGCTATAGGTATACAATACATATGCACAGTGTATATTTCAACTTGCAGGAGAGGAATGCTTTGGAGAATTTAGATTAATTTTCAGAATTTAGATTAATTTTCAGAATTTAGATGAATTTAGATAAATCTCAAACGAGAATGAGTAATCAGGAATTGACACAGCTAGGAGAAATTTCAAGCTCTATAGAGCTAGATTAACAAAATAAGGTTTGATAAGTGTTCCAACCAAAATACATATTACATACTATTCACACTCATCCTGGTCTCATGCGAAATTTACCCTGCAATACTAAGCCAACTCTGCTTAGATTGACGTTTACGGCAAACGTCAAACCGCTAGCGAGGTTTTTGATTTTACAACTCTATTATAATAGCTTTTACACCAGTTTTGAAATATGTTAAACTTATTAAACTTGTGCTCTTTAGCAATGAATTAAGAAAGCAAATTAACCGCTAGTCATGCCATTCACCAAAGCAGTAAATTAAGATTTGGCGTTTGAAGTTGACGTTTGGCGTATAAATTTCATGCTTGAACTGCTACGATGGCTTGTAGTCGTTAAAGCATGAAATTTATACGTCAACTTCAAACACCAAATCTTAATTTACTGCTTTGGTGAACGGCATGACTAGTGGTTAATTTGCTTTCTTAATTCATTGCTAAAGAGCACAAGTTTAATAAGTTTAACATATTTCAAAACTGGTGTAAAAGCTATTATAATAGAGTTGTAAAATCAAAAACCTCGCTAGCGGTTTGAAGTTGGCCGTAAACGAACAGGTGGGAAATTTGTCGTCGCTGACCAAAAAATTGCGGGCAGAAACAAAGCTCATTGCATTTACATTCAAAACAAAGCAGAAAGTTAGCAAGAAGCTGTTTTAGCTGACGATTTTTTGCTTTTCATTCAACGATTTACAAATTATTGGTTATTCTTTTAAAAGTCGATCATGAATTCTTTGTTTTGGGATGATTGTTTTGTAATTGCGTGATTGGAAGAAGTTAATATGGCGACGTGAACATGGGAGTAAATACCGTATACGTCGATCTATGGCTTGTTTAAAACCGTAATAAACGAAGAAAGACGTGATTTGAGAATGAAATGTAAGTTGAAATTAACTTTATATGCTTCAAATTTTCCATTCTATTTTTCTTAATGTAACTTCAGCTGTCTAAGTTCAAAATACAAGCTCGCGAAATTTGACAAATTTTGAAAATATGTAAAAATAGCTTGACTTTGAACTGTATTTTCTCAAAAATAGCCCGTGGCCTCAATTTCAAATATAGCTAAATAAAAAGAAAAAACTTTTCGGCGTTTGTAGGTATCAAACATATCGTCAGGAAAATAGGGGCTCACAATGTTTTAGTTCAGTCTTTGAGACCCAGTTGCTTCGCACGTGTTGTGGTCACGGACAGCCCACCAGAAACAATGACGAGGTACTGAAATAGAACGTCACTAAAAAATTCTGTATGATTAATTTAGATCATGTCTACTCTTTCAACATAAAACAGTCATTTATTTTGTACAAATATTTGGCAATATTTACACGATTGTGCCTTTTTGTAAACACGCGTTGCGTGTATTCCACTCCATTGCGTGGTTTATTTTGCTCGCGCATGCTCAGACAAATTTCCCACCTGTTTAGGGTGCAACAAAACTTTGTTCAAGTCTGTCGATAACAGTATGTTTAAGGTGGCTCGATACAGTTTTCAAAAATTCAGGAGTTTAACACTTTGACATGTTCAAACCATGCATTTTTTGGATTTATTCAGCAGATATTGTTTTTTTATATATTTTGATAACTCTACTTTCAAATTATATTATAGTAACAGATAGTTCGTTGCTATGACGACATACGTGTACGAAATTCACTCCAAAATAGCCTATCGTCTCGTATAGTTGGAAAAAAAAGCATGGTGACCCCCAATTTTTTTTCGTGCATTATTTTACTTGGACGAAAAGCTAACGATTAGCAAAATATAAAAAAATTCTGTAATGCCATTTTTTTGGAAAATGTCATATTCTTCTGTAAAATTTTTTTGGCAAACGAGAACAAGAGTTGCATGAGAGTTGACAAGCGAGCTAGAGTTCGCATGAGAGTTTTCTTAACTCTTGCACTATTCACCGACACTGAGGCGAATAATTGTTTTAGCATATACCACATATATGCAACAGAACAAAAATTACCAAAAAACAACGAATTTTTGAAAGAATTTGTATTTCAGCTCCCGCAACTATAGTTGAAAACAAAACAGTGTTTACACGCTTTCGGTAAGTTTATAATTTTTGTTCACTAGAAATAGGAATTGTCCCGGGCACCCACTTTAATAGGCCCCCAACTTGAGAGCGAGAGCCTAAAATCGAGCTAGTAGGTTCTTTAAATTGGTCAGAGCATTTTCGCAATCAGCGCCCCCGAATTGACCAAACTGACTTGAGCCCCGTTTACACTACGCTCAGTTTTTGGTACGATAAAACTACTACCTATAGATAGATAGATAGAAACTTTATTTATACACGCTGACCCCGTCAACCGAAGCAGATTTCCACGGGGGGCGTGTGCAACCTATTAGTCCAAGAACCAAAAAGTGGTACTGTACCAAAAATTGAGCGTAGTGTAAACGGCGCTAAGCTAAATAGGTGGTCCAAGAACCAAAAAAGTGGTACGGGTACCAATTTTATCCGTGCCGTACCAAAAATTGAGCGTATGTAAACGGGGCTTTGGTCTCATAAATTTCGCTTGACTGCGAGCGTTCCCTCCTTTCCGCGGGTTAATGCTCGCGGTCTAAAATTTCGCTTTTTGGTGACGATTCTCCTTTTGAGTGAAAAAGTGAGCTGTCCGCAGGGGTGTCATTAAAGGGGAACTCCAGTCCAAATACAAGTGTGGTTTATATGAAAGGTCTTACCCTTATTAGAATGTTCGTCAAGTATTTCGGTCTAAATATTAATAGTAAAGGAGAAATTGCTTGTCAAAGTTTGCGATTTTGTCAAATTTGGGTGCCATGTTGTTCTTTTCATTGCAGACTCGGATTTGTCCAGCGCCCTCATTTTTGACGTCATTGCGTGCTTCGAAGGTGTTGTTCATATAGAAAACTACGGCTTTGTATGGCGATTTAATAAGAATATCGATTATTTCTCTGCTTCTAATTCTTTAATTAACGCGAGTTTAGACCGATTTAACAGAGATATTTTACAGACGGAGATATTTTACATTACCGAGCTTCTGGCTGAGGTGAATCAAGAGTTGCCAGCCAATGCCAGGTCATGGTTGCTGGCGTAGCTAATGTAGAAAATATATCATGGGCCATTCCATTTAATATACACACCCCCCTGTGGACGAAAATTTCCGAGGGGGGTTGAAAAAGCCGTTTCTGAGGGGTTGTGTGCATCGGCATCC